AATGATGTTCGACTAAGGCATTTCCATACAGTTTAGTATCATCGGCATAAAACGGCCTGCTGAACTTTATGTGAAGAGCAAGATCACTTGCATAAACAACGAAGAGGAACAGATCCCTGGGGAACTCTACTTGAGACTTTTCTGTACGAAGATATTTCAATACCGCAGAGACATCTACCGTACTATATCAAAATGTGATATTACAGATATGTAGATGACAAAGTTTTTATAGTTGACTACTTTGGGAAAAAGAAAAAAAATCAACGATGCTCCACTATGATCATGAGTGAAAAGTATCTATTTAAGTGTGTTAATCGTTACGAACAAACATTCAGGTTTTTTATCACAAACGAACTAACATTCCCTTTTGATTCAGATGATTTGTAGCAGGAATTGACTTACAGTCTCTCAGAACCAGGGTTCATCTCTGGGTTTTAGTTCTGTGGTTCGTACGAAATATATGCGAACCCTGTGCAATAAAATATGCTTTGCATCATAAACGAAGTTTTAACCTCAGAGTTATTATTACTCTGAAACCTCAGAGTTATTATTACTCTGAGGTTTTAACCAACCAGCAATTCAAAATATAAGGTCTATGACAAGAATTTCTATCCGATTTGATCTATGACAAACGACAAGATAGTGCAAATCGGTGTGTGTATGGTAGGAGTTTATTGGCTGAAATCTGAAATTCTCCAAATGATCTAGCCACAGAATAGTAAATTATCTATTCTGTGATCTAACCGCGAACCAGTTATTTAGCCGTTGAATTATCTTAAATATGTGTACAGTCCGGAACCCAGAATTTTAAATAAGACATGGATTCAAACGAGAAATTTAAGATTTTGAACCTGCTGAAAGAACTAGAAAATGTTCACTATCCTGCAGGGCCCTTATATCAGAGTAAAAATGAAAAAAATGTAATTCCTAATATTTTCAATGATCATGAAAATTATTTCTTCAGGAATAAATAGTTGTAAAGCTCTAATCAACGAGAATGATAATGAACTAGAAAGCATCTACTACCTTTCTGAAACACATTCTCCAGGATTACGAAGTAGAACAGTATTAAGGTATGAAAAACTTTTAGCAAATGATCCTGTTTCACAAAACATCACTCACCTGCAAAAGAGTCGAGATAATCTGGCTTTCAAATGCTCTACATATCCAAAAAATGACAGAATTAGAATTATGTTAGAACAAATGCAAGAGATGCCAAAAGGTAATTTGATGTGTTTTCTTTTTCGTGAAGGAATAATGTTAACAAGTCTAAACATATTGGTATCTTTTTCTCAGAATGGACGGTTGTACAGTTGACACCCCAATATAATTCAAGAGACATTTTAAATGAAGATAACAATGTATATCATACAAACCCCATTCATATTTCTGTTTTCTCATGTGGGCAAAATGAAACTAGACCATTTTTAATAAATGTTGGGGCACCAAAAGATCCAGTAACTGGTATGTATTAAATCAACCTTGCCAAATATGTAGTTCAATAGCTATAAAATTCCAATTATTTTTTGTAACGTATTTTAATTCAAAATAGGAAATAATATAGAGCTCGCCCAGGAAATGAACTCAATAGTCAAAGGGAATATTGAAGTACTCACAAGTAACAAGAAAAAAATGTTTAGAAATCAAAAAGAGAAAATGGATTATATTGAAAGAAGACAAGTAATTGAAGACAGATTAAGGGTGATACTTATATATTTTAGTTGCTTTTGTGCAATAATACATGTCTCCTTTTTTTCAGAATATTGTCAAAGTAATGCAGGATATGTGGCTGAAAGAGTGGAGATGTTTATTAACAGGAAAATATTGTGATGAAAATTTGGAAGAAAAATTAAAGACTGAAATGGACACCTATTTTAAAAAAGAGTGAGTTTTCAAGAATATCAAACTGTTTGATCTACCTCTGCCCTCTGTCATTTACTACAAAGCTAGTGTTGGATCATGAATAGTGTATTTCTGAACTCTGGTTTCAACTAGTTTTATTGAAATACAGTTGGTGTGTGACGTCCAAGATTGGCTTTGCAACAAATCATCTTGGAGAGCCACATTTATCTTTGATATTCATGGATTGGGTCTTCTATCAATCCCATCTTCATAAACGGGAGGTATTATCACATATACTTACGCAGGCATGTCCTTCAAGGAAAGTTGGGACTAGCAAACCATTAGTGGTTCAGTCTAGCTCTGCTGATGCACTGTCTAGTATTGTATCACATTTTTTGGGCACTGACTCACCCCAAATTAAATCAAATTTAAATACTGAAACGCATTTTATCCACCTGTAATGGTTTTGTATCACACAGAATGGTCAATTTTCAAGGTGTCATTAATGATGTTTTAAATTGGAGAACACATATAGACTAAAAATATAAAAGCTTTTGGTTCAATTTTCTGTTTGTGTCATTGAAAAACTCCTCACCTGCATTGTTCTATTATTGCACTTGGATATAAAAAAACTCTGAATGTTGGCTACTGTTATTGTGATGATTGTCAATGTGTATTTCTCAAACTACATTGGACATTTACATGAGTATTGGAATTTATCATACCAATAGTGCATTTCATGATCATACTGCCAAAATTTATAGAAAACTAAGACTTATTAATGTTAAAGCAGTTTTGTTTTTGCTTACATTTTAATTATGAGACAATTCGTTTCAATTGCATTTTTTTATCATTTATTGGCAGATTTATTCAATTGTGCATTAAAATGCATAGGATTTTTATTGAATAATTGTGTAAATCTGCCAATCATTTTTTTCTCTAAACATTCTCATGTCAAAATCGACCTTTATTGAATGTAATTTTTTCATTTCCCACACAATTTGGTCAAACGAATATTTGTCTTTTTATTCATAGGATAACTGGGTTGGAAATTACAAAAACAGTGAATACATTCTATGCAGCACTCTCAAAAACCATTTACACTTCAAACTGAATGAAATAAATAAAATAATGCGATTTTGTTTTCCCAATCTCTTGGATAAGATTTTGATTCAAAATATAGTGCAGTTTATAAGAAGTTTGGGAAACAAATTCATTATCAAAGGAGTCAATACCAAAAAATATCCTATTATTAAATTGCTATGAATTTCAATGAAAATTGTATAAATCTTCCAATCATCTTTTCTGTAAACATTCTCATGTCCAAACCGATTTTCATTGAATGTTAATTTTTTTAATTATCACACAATTTGGCCAAATGAATATTTGTCTTTTTATTCATAGAGTAACTGGGTTGGAAATTACGAAAAAAACTGAATACATTCTATGCAGCGCTCTCAAAAACTGTCTACACTTGAAACTGAATGAAGTGAAGAAAATAGTGCAATTTTGTTTTCCTGATCTCTTGGATAAGATTTTGATTCGAAATATAGTGCAGTTTATAAGAAGTTTGGGAAACAAACTCATTACCAAAGGAGTCAATACCAAAAAATATCCTGTTATCCTAGTTTTACATGACGTAAGTATGTTATCCCGCCACCCAATTTTTCATCTTCATGAAGTTACTAAGTCACTTTACTACATTGGACAGTACTAGACCAGTATCTTTGCCACATTTTTGTGAATGAATTTCATCTGCAGAAAAAAAACAAATTACTATCCAAGTATGAATAATTAATTTAATTCCAATAAAATTATAATTATTTTTTATTTATTTTAAAATGTACACTTATTTTCTTAGACGCTTGACTGTTTTCCATGGGAAATGATAGATGTTCTACAAGACGAATCTGTCTCAAGACTGCCTTCCCTCCATTTCGTATACTGCTTATTTAAAGAACACCAAAACGATATTGTGGATGGTCACAAAGTGATTACAAGTTACGACAAAGGCACATATATTGTCAATCCTGACATGGATCTTCAATCAATGGAGACGAGGATGATGAATTTTTTCAACTATTGGACTCCAGGATGGACGGGAACCTCAGGATACCAGCCCAGCAAAGATGAGTTTTTTGAATTGCTTACATCTAGCGATATTTTCTCGTAAGTAGTCATTAGATAGCTAGAAAGTAGCGATTAAGTAGGTCAATTCTTCTCGACTTTCTTGTACATTGAAGGTATATCGGACATGGAAGTGGAAGTCATCTGATGTCGATGGATAAGATTCAAAAGACCCATGTTAAGGCTGTTGTTCTTCTTTTTGGTTGTGGTAGCACAAAAATTACACGATTGGATCCTCAAGTGGAAATGTTCGGACATTACCATATGTACCTCATAGCTAGGTGGTAAGTCAAGTTCCGTTGTCCATTATGGTTTAAAATCTATTTAAATATGTCCATTATGGTAATGATAATTACAATGTGAAGTGAAAAAGGTCATATGTAAAAATGGTGCATTTTACAGGGGAGCATAAAACAATGTTTTTTTCCTTATGATTTAACCATCTGCCGTTTCTTTGGAAAATAATATCCAATTACACCATTAAATCATGAGGGCACAATTTTTATCTAGGACCTTTTGCACTTACAATAATGAAAAACTCCATGTGTCACTAACATGGCTTAATCAGTGCTTCCAATTATGGTCAATTGGTAATTTTTCTTTAATTTTCAGCCCATGTGTTGTTGGAATGTTATGGGAGGTAACTGATATTGACACAGATACACTTACATCAGATTTTCTGAGTCATTGGATACCTTCAGAAGCTCCAATCCACTGGAAGTATGTAGATAAAACCAAATGGAAGAAAGCAGAAGAAAAGAGTAAGATTAATTTTTAAATATTATCTGGGAGAGTTGAAAGATTGTTCAAATTGATAGATTTGACAGTTGGAAGTTTAATTTTGCACAAGTAATGGGCTCATGAAGTAATCCAATTTTTGGTGGGAAAGAATCAGTTTAATGGGAATTTGGGAATATATGCATACACAAGTAGTGAAAGATTTTTTTTCACCTTCCAAATTCTGAAAAGGAGTTCATTAAAATTCTCTGATTCCTTCCACAAAAAAGAATTTAGTTCATAAATTTGTGAAAGATATTTGAATTCCATTAGATTTTCACTATATGTGTTGTTTAAAACATGTTTTTTTCCTTAACCAGCTATCGCACCCCTACGAACGATAACCCTCAGAAGTCGAAACTTGTGCGAGCTAAGGACTAAAGAGGTCTTATCTTTTAACATGTGATTCCTAACACGGGTTGGACGATAGCAAGTGAAAATTGAGCATTCAGCCTGGGGCTTGAACCATCGACTCACACATCAGCCGATTGACTGAGTGAACAAAGCACCCATGTCGAACCACCGGGCTACCGGGAATGTCTCTACGATCAACAAAAATCTTTCATCAGACCAATGACCTGAGATTGATTACCCTTTCCGGCCCCTACTCTAGTCAAAGACTAGGCTAACCTGTGCATGTTGAAATTAGAGAAAATAACTGTAAATTTTGGAAATCACTAAAAACTATTCTGTAGTTGACCATATTATAATTTAGAATAATTTCATGAGGATACTTTGTTTCTTTGGGCAACAAAGCAAATCCTTATTATTATTAATATGAAATTTCTCCACACAAAATAACTTTCGATACCATTCATTTGACAGAAAAAGTAACAAAATGTATAGCTTTGGATAATATTAAACTAATTTCAGTAAAATTGGTTCGAAATGTAACAATTCTTGAGGATGGACAACTATGGGAACCCGAGTTACTTAAAGCACTAGTTTTAGCAAAAAAAGGCCTGAGATATAATATGACGAAGGCAGCATGTGTAGTGAGAGGCCTGCCAGTTAAAATCAAATCACTGGGATCGATGAGCGAGTCGAAAGGGACACAACTGTGAAATTGAATCAGAATCTATTTAAGGTGAGATAAAAATAACCTACATAATTTAATTATGAAAAATTTTAAATAAATTGAGTAATTTCATTTCAGGTAATTCCCATTAAATCTTTAAATCTATTAGAAATAAAGATTACTTTTATGAATATTTGTAATTTCTATGTGTGTAAATTACTCTGATATTTTTCCAGAAATTAAAGTCATCGTTACTGAGCATGAAACGTTTTCATTTCCAATTTTAACAATTAGTTGAACAACTAAGAAAAAGGCATTTCGATATTTAAAAAAACGACTTAACAGGTTGAAAGCCAACTACTCCGATCGGAGTATAAGGGCACCAATCGGCGATGCCACTGACTCCGATCAGAGTGTTGTGTATGCCTAACTTGTAAAGATCAGTATTCATTCGGCGTTGGCTAGAAAAAGTTTTAGCTGCACTGGTGTCCTAAAAACAATTATTGAGCACGTGTTATAGTTGGTTATGCGGTTTTTATTTTTGGTGTCGTTAAACATGGACGCCAAACCTGGACCTTCTGGATTGCTGAAAAAAGAACATAATTTACATGTGTACAGTAAGAAAGCACTCACAGAAGTGTTTAGAAGGTAGCGGTGGTGACGAATATTTGCCAGAGTCCGAAGATGAATATCCCCCCGAATCCCTTTATTTATCTTGAAGTGTGTCACTTTTGCCCGTAACAATATAACTGAATTTGTCACAAATGCGGATATACATGGTAGAGACACCCGTCATGGGAAACTGTTAAGAACCCCCTCACACAAAACGGTTCACTTTAGATGCTCCCCACTATTTAATACAACAAACTGTTATAATAACTTGCCGGCATCTATTAGGAAAATCGAGTCAGATAAACTTTTTAAAATTGAGGTAGAAGTGTTACTACAGTCTTGAGGAATTCTTGCACGACACTTTTTCATGACATTTTGAGAGTATTTGCTAGAGCTTCTCCGATTTTTTATATAATACTTCTATGTTGTGAAAGTTTGTGGACGTGAACCATATTTATTGTTTTTGTATTGTTCAACTTGTGTAGCTTTATTTTTGTTTTTTAATTATGACTTAGCACATGTACTCAATGTACCAAAGTGTCAGATAAATAAATAAATCAGAAAGTGATTCAGATGCACATGGTGATGACCAGTGGTTAGGAAATATTCCAGCTTCAACTAATGCGCAAGAGAAATTCAAGTGCACAAAAACAGGCACATTGAAACAGTTTACATTAAAAAAAAATCAAGAGCTGTTAGTACCGATTTCGGGCAGAGGCAGACCTATAGATTTTTTCAGAATTATAATTGACGACACGTTTTTGTCCCAAATTGCAGACCAGACAAATGATTATACTATTCAAGTTTTTTTAGTAGTGGAATATCTGCAATGTCACGTTGCATTGAGAATATTCATATTACTTTAATTTTTTATGATTATTTGGGCATGAACCAAATTGATTCTTGTATTCTTATGTGATGTTACCAGTTTAGTTTTTATGTCAATGAAAATAAACGTATTTTACGTAATTATGGTATGTTCTAATCGTATTATTGTTAAAATAAAACGCCTCTGACCGAAGTGTTCGGTATCTGGTGAAAATTTAATGCTCGACGCCACGCACTCCAATCAGAGTTTATTTTATCTTGATTTTAAAAATAGAAAGAGAATAACAAACATAATAACACTATTATTTAGATAATATGTGACATAAAGGAAGGCAAAGAAACATAACGGCATCCGAGAGTACTTCAAAAATATGGTCGGCAGTCAACCTGTTAATACATGTTGAAAGGCATTTTCAACATCTTTAATTATATCCAATGAGGTTGTTAAAATAAATTTCAATGGTCAGTTGTATTTGATAATACTTATTTGAGCAGTCTTCACTTATAGCCAAGTCGTTCAGAGGATAAAGTTCGTTAACAGGAATATTTCTGCATTTTTCTCATTGTTATTCATTTTATATCTATATTTGTATTTCATAGACAATAATACTCCCTTTTCCTCAGAAGAGGAGATTGGTTACTAGACTGTACTTCAAATGTAATCATCTTGATTGATTGATTGATTTGAAATGGTAAATTACAAAATCAATTGATTGTATATTTATTTATAATAACAAATATATATCTTGTAAAAAATACTGTCACATACATAAAATTTCAACAAAATAGAGCACCATTCTTTATCAACACATTTCTATGGCCATCGCTATTCCCATTCCCCCTCCAATACATAGGGCAGCAACTCCTTTCGACTTCTTAGTTCTTTTCAAATTATGAATCAATGTAACTAACACTCTAGCTCCCGAACACCCAATAGGATGACCCATAGCTATGGCTCCACCCGTTATATTTACTTTGGCTTCATCTATTTCTAACATCTTGTTGACAACGATACTCTGTACTGCAAAAGCTTCATTTAGTTCATACAGATCCACGTCTTCTTTTGACCATCCAACTTTTTTCAGCTGAAATAAATGTAAAAATAAGTGATTTGTTTGTTGACTCAATACCACATAGCTTTGATCTATATTAACTAATTATAAAATAATCTATGATGTTGAACCTGAGAGGATATGACAAAAGGTAGAGCAAAAAAAATCAATATAATTTTTTATAGATTCTAAGTCTGTCAATAAACTTAACAAATGAAAACCAACAGCTTTCTGAATCTGTTAATAAAGTCCTGAATTCCAAGACTAGCTAATATTTTGGTTCTAAAATATCTGTATAATAAAATCTCATAGTACAAAATGATGTATTGAGGCTATTTCACAATTAAAAATACCTGTAACGAATGAAACAAAAATTTATTTGCATTCCTAATGTCAATAGGGTTGAAAATAAATTGAATTCTAAATAGGTCACTTTTAGGTCGAATATTCTTGATATAAAAGGTCTGTTGAAAAAATAAGATGAATGTTAAAATTTCGCGGGCTACGTGAATTTGATAAGCGATTTTCCTTTTTTTTTTATGTTGGTACAGTCGTCTTGAACATATGTTCACAGTTTCAGCTATTAAGCATGTTGGATCAAAGAATTTGCATCAAATTTTGTGCAAAATTTTGAATCAAGTGCTCAATAACACTTGAAATGCTGACAGTGGCATACGGTGATTGTACTGTCGAGACAGAAAAATGTTTACAAGCTTTTTATAGAAGGTCGAGAAGATGTGAATGACGACGCTTGCCCTGGACGCCCCAGCACATCAACAACCGATAAAAATGTTGTGAAAGTGAAGATTATTGTTATGGAGAATCGTCGAATCACTATTAGAGAAGTTGCTAAGTTGTCGGCATATCGATTGGCTCATACCATGCAAATTTTTATTCACCAGATTTAGCCCCCTGCGACTTTTCCGTTCCCAAAATTGAAAAGACCCATGAAAGGACGGAGTTTTGCGACAATTGAGAGAGCTCAAGGACATACCAAAAAGTTCATATCAGAACTGCTTCAAGAATTAGGAAAAACACTGGCACAGGTGTATTATATCTGAGGGGGACTACATTGAAGGGGTCAAAATAGAAATTGATTAATAAAAAAATATTTTTTTGAGGAAAATGAATATTCACCTTCTTTTCGGAACAGACCTTGTATGTTAACTACCTCTTGAAAACAGGCACAGCTGGTAAACGAACCATATTTGCAGAAGATAACATAATGTTGTTGCAAAGTAAAACTGTGGATGATTTGAATAATTTTGTGACTTGAAAAAAATCCAGTCATTATGACACCCTAATTTGCTATTATTCCATATATAAAAAACAAACATACTATCCTTGGTGATCTGCAACTGGAGAGTGACATTGAAAATATAAACTATACCAGATTCAGACAATCACCTGAAATTTGAATCCTACTTTGAGACTTTAAAGCTTGAATTTCCAAAAAACTAGGGACCCATATTACTAAAACTGCATATTTTGTCTTAATCAAGTTCCTTATTAGATATGATGTTCCATTTTGCACTAAGTATAACTAGTACTTAATAGAATTTGTGCTGGTTCTACAGAAAAGAACCGACAAATCTTGACCGTGTAACTCCTGCAGGCTCTTGTTCATATCGAACAAATTACTTTGTTTTTTAGGGAGAGAAAAATCATCAAAGCAACACTTACTACATTTGTAACGGCTCCAATTGGTCCAGTTCCCATACACATTGGGTCAACTCCAACTTCTGCGAATGCTAAAACTTTTGCCAGTGGGATTAGGTGTTTACTATTCACTACAGATTCATTTGCCAGTACCAAAGCTGCAGCACCATCATTTATACCTGAAATATAATCTCTATTTGGATTCTTTGTTGAGATACCAACGAAATTCATTATGTTTCAATAAGAAATTCTAACTAATTATTACCAATACTTCTCGTTTCAATTAACGGGAAAAATTCAATAGACTTCCGAGTAACGAACACGAAAGACTGTTCAGAACATTTGAGAAAACTGAAATTATTTTGAGCCTGAAAAAACTTTTTAATTCAGTTCATGAGTTCCTCAACTTTCAAATGAGTGACTCGAATTTTTTGTGATAGGCACTTCTTTTGACATCATTTCATCACTTTTTGTAAATCTATTTATGTGTTTACTGACATTTTTATTCTTTGTATTTTAATTTGGAATCCGTGTTTTCAAATATGACTATCTACAAATACTTTGTATATATGTGGATGAAAATATAAACTAAGCTATAGTCTATTTCAAAAGAGTGTAGAGTAATAAAATCTCATTAAGTATTCAAAAGCGCTACAGGGTGATCCGTCAATAAATTCTGTCACTTCCCTAGTCCGCATTGCAAAATTATGTCGTTTCATAAAGAGCAGGTAGGTATCACCCTGTTTTAAGGGATTTGTCCATTGTTATCGACGGATAAATACTGAGCCAGAGGCGCGCTAGTGGGATAATTGCCAAAAGAATATGCATTCATAAAAATTATATTAAAGGAAATAAAAATTTAATACAGCAGAACAGTGTTATTAAAAAAATATAAAATGTAACAATAAAATATATACGAACCGAAATCGGGAAATACTCACAAACACACACGAACGAACTTTACGTATTGAAACACTTGTGGGGACNGTTTAATAGGTATTGCATGATTGGTGGGCAGGGTCAAAAAGGGATTATTATAATGACATGGCACCTCGGAACTAAGTGTTAACCCTTTTTTGAGAAATCATGCTCAAGTATATGAACCCAAATTGCATATTAAATAAGTTTACAAGAACCACTAAAATTAATCTTAATCTTTTTTTAAGAAATTTTACTTACCTAAATACATGTAGGTACTTAGTTTTAGACCAAATTACATCCCAAAAATGGCCTTTTATTATTATCTATGTCTGTAATTTTTAATTTACTTTAATTATTAAGTTTAATAATTCTAAGATTTGCCTACGCCCATGGACGACAACGAAATTCAGGCAAATTTTATGACACTTCATGATTTATTACTCTACACTCTTTTGAAATAGACTATAAAAATATCTATTGAATGTTAACATGAACACTAGGAGATTGACATGTGAGAAGGTTCGCCTCAGATTTAATAATAATAACTTCAATAAAACCCTAAACATGTTTATATGGAAAATTGAAATATACAAATATGTATCAGTATACAAAGAGATTTGGAGTAAATAAAATAAAAACTATCAATTCAGTCAAAATTTGGTGGAAATCACAATGGAAATTGAAATGAATTAATTTCATACATCAGTTAATTCTGATATTACTCCATTGAAAAAATCATTTACCATCATCAACTGATGTGTAATATTTTTCTATTTTGAATTGGGCACACTATTATAAATTATATTTACAGTGAAGATGATTTTTCTCAAAATTGCCTTTCATTTGTATGGTTTTCAAACTATGCAATTGTCTGGTGGGATGATTATGGCTATCAAAAATAATGATACAGAAAATACTTGCACGTTTATTTTTTGTGAAATGAATAAAAATATTGATTTTTAACTTGAAAACAAACTAATAGGTTCATTTGTTGGCTCTTGAACTGGTAATTTTATAGTTTTATTTTGTAATGACTTTGATGGTTTCAACGCAGATTTCGTTGCAGTACCCCAAATAAATATTGAATACTGAAATTTAGAATATATCAGGAAAATATATTTCCAAGATTTTGAATGTCCATGTCATGTCAAATTTACATCAATGTATAATCCTAAGAAAAATTTTTTTTTCCTGTTTTACTTGAAATAAGAGGAGCCATATCATTGGGATATATACATATAACTAATTCGAATAACTTAGTGAGATTTACACTGAACAGTTTAAAAAACTATACAATAGTTTCCTCAACGTTTTCACTTCTGCTTTGAAGCCATTTTCAAGAACCACTTGAAACTGATGATATGCGACCAGACGACGGGGTCGTAATCTACCTTACCCCCAAGTCTCATCACTGGATTTGTTGTTGCTTTATTCACTTGGAACTGAACACATATTTTAATAAAATTCAATAAAAACTAGTCAGCAGTGATGCCAGATTACCATTCAAAAGCTGGTAGGTTTAAATACTTTCTATAATTTTTTTTCCGTAGAAATAATCTTATTCTAAGGTAGGTGGCTCAGAGAATCATTATCATAGCCTATCCTGGACAGTAGGCTAATAAACATAGTAGTCTACGACATTGATTTACAAAAACAGGCACCAATTTTTGAAACCCTAATTGATAGTTGAGAAATTATGCTCCGTATGGATGTGCTTGCAATCACAAATTCGTTGTGACCTTGAAAGAAAACAGAAAAGTTCTTAATAATGCCATTCTCATTTCCAGAGAAGCGAAAATAAATTTTCACTTTTCATAATACCCTAACCAAACTTATCAACCTCAAAACAAAGAATAAATAAATAGCCAATATGAAAAATACTTTCAAGTTTAATATTTTCACTTTTACACATGTGTAAACAAGTACATGTATAAACTTAAATACATTTTGAATGCGAATTGAATATTTATTCAATTTATCTGATAATTAAAATGGAATGATTGAAAACTGTCCTCTTTTTTAAGACATGAGAGGTCGCATATTTTCATTGTTAAGTTCAAACTTATGAATTAAATAGAATGGCTTGGCACTAAATCAGGTTACTACTACAACCGTACTGTATATTCAAGCCTGCTAGTGTAACCACAAAAAATTATATTTTTTTTTAACTCTACACTGAGGGCACTGACGCAAATTAGATATATACAAGTTATTTCATAATACAGATGGCCTGTAGAAAAATTATCAAAATTTCATCTGGTGTCCCCCAAAAACCAAAACTATTATTTGTGATTTTTTAACTTAGAGCTAAGCTAACTTCATTATCTGATTTTTGCATATGATCTAACATTTTACAAAATTATTAGGAAAGATCAGAATGCATCATAATTTTTGCTAGATATGCTATTGAATGTTTGTCAGTAATCTTTGACAAATATAAACATCTAGAAAAAATTATACTCTATTAATCATTATATTAAAAGTGCATCAAATGTGTGATTTTCATTCAACATCACTTGAAGAATGAACAAGTGAAACTATTGTAAGTTTGCACGCCTTACAAGCAAAATTTTCTCTCTAAGAAATACCAGACAAAGTATAAATATAAGTACCTGAAGCATTTCCAGGGGTGACAGTTCCGTTAGAGATGAAACAAGGCTTTAGTTTTGTCAGAGTTTCTACAGTTGTACCAAATCTTGGAAACTCATCTTTATCCAATAGTTTCTTTGTTCTTTTTTCCGGAACACCAATTATTTCTTCTGTGAAGAATCCATTCTTGATGGCCTCTTCCGTCTTATTTTGGGATTGGCATGCGTATTTATCTTGGTCTTCTCGAGGAATAGAGTATAGTTTAGACAGATGTTCAGCTGAAAAGTTCATCAACTATATATTGTCTATGTCAAACATAACACTATGATCAAATTAACTTTACCTGTATTACCCATATGAACATCTTTGTTGAAAGCATCTGTTAAACCATCACTCAACAGAGTATCAGATAAATTGAGCTGTCCTAGTTTACATCCTCTGAGATAGGCTGAATGTTGGGCTCTTGTCATACTTTCCTGGCCACCTGCTATCACAATGCCATAGTCTCCATTCCTGATAGCTTGGAATCCAAGGGCCACAGATCTAAAATGAATATATTTTTCAAGAAAAAATTAACATCTTTGAATATCTTACTTCAAGCCAGATCCACATAACATGTTCACCGTATATGAGGGTGATGTGTTTGGAATTTTGGCCCCAATGGCTGCCTGTCTAGCTGGGTTTTGACCTTGACCTGCGGTCAGCACCTAAAAATTAATCCACATCATAACAAAGAAATGTATAAATGCTCTTCAAGACACATAACTAGTTAATCTTACAATTCTATTCTTGAGCACTACCTATGATTAAACTGAATATGTAAATGAAAATGTTCCTTCAAAAAAATTATATTTATCAACAGGTTAGAGTGAAATAGAATTCTTTCAAAATAACTTTTACAAGGACATTACTCATAAATTATTGCACATTGAAGTAACATTTTAGAATAAATAAGCAGTTGTTACAAAATGAGATTTTTTTTCAGTTTGTATATGAAAGAAACTTTTATGTGCGATCCACACATCTTTATTAAGAATTTATTTTAATTTAATTTAGTTGCTTTCTTCCTTTCTCTGGAAGTTCCCTAAATTTTTTGTATAAAGATGCAGAAGTAGAAAGCCAAAAACCTTTCTTCCCAAAAATAATCTCTCCTGAAAAATATTCCCATTTCAATTTAAATAAATACATTGAAGTGTAAAATTAAAATATTTTACAAATTTCAAACTCATTTTTTGTCGATTTTCAATTATCAATGTAGTTCAGAACCAAATAAAAATAATAATTAATTTTTTTTCACAAAAAATATGACAGAAAAATATAAAGAATGATAAATGATCATAATTATGGCCAAAGTTAATAGCCATAGAGGTAATTGGTAAATTATTGAACTATTTGCTATAATTAAAAACAAATTACCCAGAAAAAACTGATTTTTCTCTAATTGAAATGCTAACTAAAATGCAATGTAGATCACTACATATTTCATTAAAATATCATGAACTAGTTTGGAAATAAGATGAATAACACTGCCTTTCTAGATTTACTAGTTTTTATTGAAATATGTCTAGAAACTGACTCACTTGACCCATTATAATATGCTCTACATCTTCTGGATTAAGCTTGGCCCTTCTGATAGATTCAGAAATAGCAATTGCTCCCAATTCCGAAGCAGAAAATTTTTCAAATTGTCCTTGAAAACTACCTAGACATTGAACAAGACATTTAAAAACATCCATTTGAAAAATTATAGAAATCTTACCTATAGGAGTTCTACAAGCTGAAATTATGTAAACTTTATCCATTTCACAATACTACTGATGAATACTTGACTAATACTCGAAATTGAAGAGGAAATACCTTCACATAACACTTCTAATTTCCTATGTAAATTAATTTCACCTCTTAACCCCCTTTTATACCCTACATTCTCATTCCCACATCGGTTATTCCATGGTGACATTACTGACAAATAGCATAACCTCACTTTTATATGTTAATGATGCAATGTTGCCGACTATAGAGGAAAATACTCACGGATTTCAAATGTGGAGTCAAAGAAATTTTTGACGAAGTGTTCTTTTTAATTAAACGGTTTTCTTCAGCTCACCCTGTTTGATTGTTTGAGTGAAATTTAGTAATTGAAGTTTGTCCCCCTTCCTGTACAATGTTATGTTCAGTGATCAGTGTCTAAAAAAATTGAGTGCTTTCTGTTCAAATGAAAGTTCATCAATTTTATAACTTAATGCTGAATATTTTGGACAGTCCATGAACACAGATTCGTCTGATAAGGTAATGAATTTTATTACAGAAAATGTGAATTTTTTAGATTATTTTTGGAATCCCTGCTATCTTGATGTTCTTCACTTTTTTTAATACGAATAGGAAAATTGTAATTCATATGATTAACATTTACAGAGACTAATCGGCGACAGTTATTCGTTGATTTGAATAAGCAACAATAGACATACTGATAGATTTTGAAATACTGTGGGAAATGTATTACAATTACATGGTATGTTATATTTCCGCAAAGAATAAAAGAGTAGTATAAAATAAATACACTTCAATTTACAAGTTCAAAATTCACACCAAAACACTTGAAAGTGTCATGGCGTCGCTTGTGATGTGAAGTCACGTTTGAGAAGACTTATGAAAACACCAAAAGCTCATACATAAATTTCGTGATAACTATTATTGAATACGAATTCAAACCAGTCCCTCAGTGCACTGATACATCAATAAAGACTACGAACAAGATATTTGTGTTCGTCCCGTACAAAAAAAAAACACGAAATAAGTGGCTTAACTGCAAGATGAGATTCAACGGAAATATTGCCCAGCGTAATTTTTGTGAAGAACACTTTGACGTGATTATTTACCAAAATTTGTAGATCATAAACCAGTATTATCTTGGTCAAGGATTAAATTCAATAATAAACAAACTTCTGAGGTTAGGTTTCATCTCTCGTATCTTTCACCCATGTTATGTTACCTTTTAGTGTGCACAAATTTTCTTCGCGTTTTTAACTTCGCGTTACGTTCTGTACTATCATCATAAAATGATTTGAAAGACCTGAAAAAGATGAATTATTGTCTCAAAGTATTTCCCAATGGCTTTGGACTCATTTTTGTTATTTGTTTTCGGATGATCATTATTATACTTACATGGAAGTTTTAACATCTACCGAATATCTTACCGAACAAAAGTCTTCGTTATACGCCAGAAACTCTCCCAGCATCAACAAGACGATCCTAAGAATATTCCCCTGTTTGTCATTGTAAATCCTGGTTCCACGGTCCACGTTATTTTCCTTTTGAATTAACTGTACAACAAAATAAAACTTACTATAAACAATTTCAAGTCGTAAAAAAATCGGAAAAAACTAGCGTCGAGTATTATTTTCGCTCTAATTGGCGTTCAAGATATCACGGCGGCTTGCCGTATTGTGTAGTTTTATTTCATCAAAATATTATTAATCTCCCACATATTAATACAATAAATGCATGATTTGCAAACCATTAATAGGGTTTCATTATAAAAATACATCATTTCAGTGATTTTTACTTACTGTCATCGTGTCTATTCCAGCTTAAAAAACAACATGCATTACTAATTGAAGTATTTGCAGCGGGAGACTACAGTATTGAGTATGGTGGCTCTGTACCAGCCAGTAACCGGTAACGCATTCTTAGACATTTCCAAAACCTAAAATAAAAACTGGGTTATATTATCACTTATATATTCAATTTTATTCAATAAACTTAGAGGAAAGACCAAAACTAGACATTAATTATAAAAAGTATGCAGCCACACAGCTACAATAGGTTAGAATGTGAGGAGAAAATAAATAGATAGTTTATATTTGTTTTGCTTCAAATCACTGTAGGTAATTTGTTTAAGTATAAAATATCTACTTTATATTTGGTAACTGAAAATTGAAGTACTTATATTAGAAAATTTATAATTGGAAGTTCTACATTTGAATTGAATACATTATCATATATGCATTTGGAATATAAGAGGGTCTCCTCCAACTGGAAGGATATTACAAATCCAAGATGGACAGGAAGATGATGTATGCTTTCAGAGGTTGGATTGCATTTGTAGCATTCATGGATCTCGGAACGGCAGTGAAAAGTTACATAGAAAAAAAATCGTTTCTTAGCAAGTCAATATCAAATGTTGAGAACTATGTAGATGGTATCAGCTTGAAAATACTTAAATTCTCTTTCATAACATTTTCTTCCAGATGAGTTCACTATATCTAGAATACTAGGGTTGTATTCTATCTTGAAGGCACTAGTTTTAATACACTGTACCTTGTTCATACACTACAAACCGTAAGTTATATTTAAAATGTAATTATCTGTCCTAGAAATATTATTTTTGAGATTTTTAGGGTAGTCAGTATGGGAATATGCTCCTTAATTATAACAATAATACTATACTGCACCGAAACCATTTACTTTCGGGCAGCCACTCTAAATTTTTATGTAGTATTCCCATGCATTCTCAATGGTAAGCTGAAAGCATTAAAAATATGTTGAATGCATTGTTTTCATATTTCAGTTGTAACACTAGCAGGATTACTGTATTTGCCAAATCATTTGCAAATATGGGACTATCAAACTGAAGAGGATGATCATAAATTTAAATTTGGATTGATGAAGAAGAAACGAAATTCTAAGAGAGAAAATTAGTTGTAATGGATTCATATGCAAGTTTGAACTAATGAAGATATTTGAATCAAAACCATCTGTAACTTGAATTAACCTATTTTTCAAGTACCTAGGCTGCAAACACTGAAAAATTGTCTAAAAAGCTTATTACAAAAAATCATTTATCTGCTTTCATACCAATTTTGTCTCATATTAACAGGTTAATGTAAGTCATTAAAAATTGAATGATGAAAAATGGTTTGTAAAAATTATCTGAATTTGGTTTTATGTTCACTGTGATACTAATTACAAAACCATTTTTAAACAATATTTGCTGAATAAATATTTTGATGATCGTTATTTTTATTCAAATAATTTTGTAGAACACAGGTACACCACGAGTTGGAGTGAGACTATAGAGCAGGGTCTTGTGCATGATTTGTAATCAAGTTATCAAACTGTAGTGTATAGTAGAGACCGGGTATCTTCTATGGGATTTTTCATACTGAGATAGATTATTTTTTATATATATTAAATTTTCCATGATATATAGAGAAGGAAAGGTTAGTATTTTTAATGTAATGAATGAATTTCGACATTCATCTCTGTAGCCGATATTGTCTAATATTCTAATTGCTCTAATTCTTATTGATCTAAATGAGGTTGTCAAACACTTATAGCCTACATTTCAGTTTGTCGTCCTCCACGTTCAATACAAATTATGGTCCTTCTACTGACATCTGTAACTGCATTTTTAATAAATCGGGGATTTATATTTGCACAGCACTCGCGAATGTTATTTTCCAGATGTTGTATGTCAGTAAATGATCTATTTCGGTACATTTTTTATTTCAGGTAACCCCACAAGAAAAAGTCTAAAGGCGTCAAGTCGGGTGATCTAGGTGGCCAAGTACCATCTAGGTATCAAGTACCTAGATGATAGGAAGAAAAATAAGTTCCCCAATTATTGTAAATGGTTTATTAAAAAATGTTTGAACACTGTTAAATTATCTAATTCTTGGTTCTCTCTGACTAGAATCAAGATATTCCATTGGAAACAATGAAGATTGAAAAAAATACATTGCAGTTATTTGTTTCACCTTGTCAAACCTACAATTCTTTCACTTTCTTCCCAAACTGCCTTTGCTAGTTCTGGATCCCTAGCACTTTTATACCTGCTGACTAGTTTACAATCATGGAAATGCTGTCCACTGTATTTTTCCAACCCATTCTCTATGGCGCAATATATCTGGGTTTGAGCTCCTTCAGGAGCGGTCTGAAAGTTGATATTGAATACATTAAAACAGTCGACATTAAAAATAAAAAATCATATATTCACCTTATAAAATATCTCTATCAGAAATAAAATCAGTCTTCTCTTCCACGCTTCTAGGTTTCTGAATATTTCTGTCTTGATAACTCCTGGGTGTAATGAGTAAGAAGTTACATTGGTATTTTGCAGCCGTGAAGACAATTCTATGGTAAACAAAATTTGACAAAGCTTTGAAGTTATATACTGATCACTATCTCCTTTGTATACTGTTAGAGTTTTTATATCTATGTTTCCAAGTTTAGCTCCTATTGCCGACACGTTGACAATTCTACTAGGATTTTTCTTTAACAGATCTAAAAGAAATAATATATTTTCCACTGAATTATAATGAATCCTTTTAAAAAAACAATAAATGGACAGAACCTGTTATTCAAAATTTCTTCATATGTTGACATACCTAAAAGCAGATTGGTTAATAGAAAGTGGGAGAAATAGTTGACCTGCAGAATGATTGGCAAATCGTCTTCTGTTCTTTGATTGCCCAAACGACCTGCTCCAGCATTATTTACCAGTATATCTAAACGTTCTTCAGTATTATTCACGTCTTCAGCAAATTTTCGGACTGATTTGAAAGAAGCCAAATCTACCAGTTTATAAACTACATCAGTATTGTTGGTTTCTTTCATTATTTGGTTACATGCTTGTCTAGCTCGTTTCTCGTCCCTACAAGCTAAAATAACTCGAGCGCCTCTTTTAGCAAAATCCAGAGCAGTTTCATAACCTATACCTTGAAAATTAAAATATGGTTAACGAATTTTTGAATAAGTAATTATAGCTGAAAAGTAAGTATTAATCCTACATTTCAATCTTCAAAACGTCCCGGTTTCGTATTTATATACAGTAGGATCAACACCAAATTCACACTTTTAACTTTATTCGTTCTATATTTCGTGTACTGCGAATAAATTTGATTTGTTTTGTAAAATCGAGACCCAGTATTATTGGAGAAATTACTTACCAGTATTAGCTCCTGTAATGAGGGCAGTTTTTCCTTTCAAACAGACTTGACTTTTGCACAACCCTGTAGTTACTTTAATGTACAGTTTGAAACTCACTAAAGTAAGGGCAGTACAGGAAGTAGCTAATAAAATTTCCAAATACATTGTGTTTCTACCAATAACCGCCTAAAAGTGAGACAAAATGGACATATTTTTTTATCTCATTAGATTTTATATTTTTTTACGCATGATTTGGAAGTGTCTACGACGACGGAACTCCGGAAAACAACAAATCGTATGGAATTGCCCTCCATAATTCCATTTAGCAAGCATACAATTCTTGCAAATCCACGCCACGCATTAATACGTCGGATATTCCTTGAAGTATTGACCAATGTTCCAGAAAACTTTTTCGTTACATAAGTATAGTCTATTCCCTTAAGCAGTGAAGTAATAAAATCATTTACGAATACCTATCTGTTCCATAGGCATAACTGATTAAGTTGGTTAAAAATTGAAAAAATGAGGTATTCATTTGAAAAATTCAATGTTGTATGATTTGATTCAACAAATCTCAAAATACAGTGAGCAACAAAAAATGGAACACTGCCTATTCTAACATTTACCTACCTGCCGAATGAACCTTTTTCCTGAAGTACGAAAAATCACTCACTAGCAGTGCTAGTAGTTCGGTAGGGACAAACACTGCCTAATCCTCATTTAAACATATGGAAAAGTACAATTAAAAAAGAGTGTTTTTAACAGAAGAAAATGTTCCTGGAGCAAAACTAAAATTTGCAACTGTAAAGGATAACAATGTTGTAACATTAAAATGTTGGCTTGCATGTCGTAATTTAAAAGTAACTGGAAAAAAGTGAATTAATAGACAGGTTAGTATACAGACTCTAGTAAACGAGTAGCGGTAGATTCAAACTGTAATAAAAGAAATTTTAAATAATTATGGATTTCAGACTTATTTCCGAGTAAAATATGAATCAAATATAAATGGTAATGAAATAAATTTAATTAAATATAATGAATATAATTGAATAAACGATTAAGGTTATATCTCATTCTAATCAATGGTAATTAACTATGAAAAATTTACTATTCATTTCGTGTTTAGAGCATACATATGAATATTTATTTATTTTTTGTACTGTTAAATCCACTCTCCTCAAAGCATGTATCCATTTCTTACATCTAACCTCATTATTATGAGGTTTTATAAATGGTATAAAAAACACGTTTTCTTCCGGATATCGATTATGCGGCGTACAATTCGCAAAATGCAATGCTTTGTTGGCATTATACTAGCACAAAAGAATTTTTTATATAAGATTTATATTGTTAAAAAATAAATTGATATTACGTCAATAACACTGTTTTACATGTGAATATAGTTTATTGTTTGTCCCTACTACTAGTGCTGCCTCTCGTGAAACGTTTGCTGTACTATTCTCAGGAAAAAGGCTCATTGATTGAAGAGTATAACTTAAATGCATTTAGCAACTGGGTAAAAGAACTGTTACTCCCTAATTCTTATTACAGCCTGGCAGAATACGTGATGACAGGTTTTGAGATCAGCTTCTGATTCGATTTTGTTTTTAAAATTTTGTTTCTTTTCATACTTTGTTTTGTCTGACATATTTGTAGCCAAAATTAGATTCAAATTATTAGGTCCAGTGGCGTCTCAATGGGCACTACAGCCAACAATATTTAGAAAAAAAGAACGCCACTGAGTTTTTTGTAGTTTATCATTTTTTAAGAGTAGGCAACTAAAAATACGACTTAGTCACAGTATTTCTGTATACAGTAGTTTCACTCAGCGTCGGTCCCTTTGATGTCGGTGTCCAGGAGTTTCATTTTTTTATTTGTTATGTTGAGCAGTGTTTAAACGCTTTGATTGCATGCCTGTCTTTAACTCGTCGTTTGCGCAGACCTAAGACATCGACGCGTGGGTCTGCGCGTAGGAAAATTCAAACCACAAATCAGCCTTTATGAAATTACTGTATACAAAATACTGTGACTTAGTTGTCGCTTGTGTTTTCTTCATATCAAGCTTGTTTTTCGACAAAAAAAGCACTTCTAAAAACTATCCATGGGCAACATAAAATAAAAACCAAAAGTAACTAATAAACAATTCACCTTCTATTAAAATACACGACTACAATCTCTTTGTCTGACACGTTCAAAAATACCTGGAGTATTCCTTACAATTATTAGATTCCTTGTCATTCACATCTAGTACAGGAGTTTTATAAACAAGAGCCTTCATTTGGATGACCTCATAAATAGGAATTTAGAGCAGAGGTGCCAAACTCAATTTTGCAGTATGCATAGGCGGGCCACATTCAAATAAAAATAATGTAGTGAATTATTATAATATTTCATTTATTAAATTATATAGTATATAATATACAATTGTTATAAATCATATCAAAGGATAACTATTTTGTGCTCGAGGATCCATTTACCTGACTTCTCTTGTTTTGCCAAGATCATTGATGTCAGGCATCTTCGCTCTCAGTATTAGCTTTAGTAAACATCGATTGTTGACCTTCAGGTTTGGATTTAAAAGAAGACAATGTGTCAATTTTTATTATTTCAGTGTGACAATCGAATTTTGATTTATGATTTTCGAATCATAGTACCTCTTCAAGTAAAACTCCTTACAAACAGCAACCGTTTGATTGCAAATCAAACACGGTGGTTTACCTTTCCCTTCTATGAAAAAATATGCAATTTCCCATTCAGACTGAAAAAGGCTGCAATCACTATCATAATGCCAAAATCGTAACAATTATGAAACTCGACACAAAAATTATGGATATCTTCACAATCACTACTTTGCAGTACAACTAGAATCTTTCTCCGACCGTATGGCTTCGATTACTCAACTCAACAGACTCATGTCGCACCGAGGCACTCATTTTATATCGATAAGGAAGGAAGCGCGTGGAAAATTATATTCTCAATAAAACCATAGTATAAAGATAATAATCTTATACTATCTTTATACTAGAACCAAATAGGTACCTATAGTTCGTTCAGTATATTGTCTGAGAGTAAAAGAATGTCAAGAATGCAAACATGTCGCTACATCAAAGAAAGCAACATATTCGTCTAAAGCAAATAGTACTGCAATTCACCCACATAATCATTGAGATATGTCTACCCTCTATATCCCTTGAGGACGCCGCTAACGAGCCATTAAGATAGTGATATGCGACAAAGAACGCGAAAACACCGACAAAGAATGCGAAAATGCCGCCAAGAGAACTGCTCGATGTTTTTTCTGATATTACCTTTAAGATAATATTAATAGGCGTCGGACTGGGGGTATTAATATAAATTTTCCATTGATATATTCTGTATGATGAGAAGATAATTAAAATATGGTGAAAACTAATTTTGTTTAAATATTTTATTTTGGGAAGGACAATTTATATTTGAAATAGTTTTTTATTATTTAGAATTGTTACCTTCTACAGATCTATAAAATAATCAGAATATTAAATTTACAAATAAATACAAATGTAGAAAGGGCAAAAAGTTACTGCATTTGATAAATTAGCTTTTTGGAAAAAAAATCAAATTTGTCATTAACTTCAATTTGAAAAATTTTGCATATTAAAAGAAATATGTATCATCCGGTGACGTTTTAAAGACTATCCATTTTCTTTATCCAACCTATTTAAATCAAAACATTATAATTTGTAGTTATGATTCGTCTTTTCATGTAAATAAATTTGAAATTATTATTATCATTGGCACTGATAATATCAAATTGATCGTCGATATGACAATGAAGATGGATAAAATATTCGAAACATCACCAGGTAAATATACAAATAGAATAGATTTCCGCGGTTAGAAATTTGAACATATGATTTCGAGTTGAACCGCGTTCAAAATTTTGCGTTGTTCAACGTTTCGGCTTCGACTTGACATTTTCAGGAAGTAGAAAAGTGTGGCTGCACTGAGAGATACACTTTATATATTCTTGTTGGTTTGGAAATGAAGATTCATATTTCTTATTGGATGTTATAGTTGATTCAGAAACAATTTTATAGATTTAATGGGAATACTTACTTCGAATAAGACATTGCGATAATTTTAATCTGAAAAAAGTCTATAGGGAATCGTTGAGTAATTCTTCACTGGATGAATCAGTTTCATTAGGATTGATGACAACTGGAATATTTTTTTCTGATAATGAGTCTATGCGATCATCCAGATCAATCAGAAGATCAATCAGATCTTCGATTCTGATTGTTTTGTGGATACATTTTTTCCAAGCATTCGGTCGACTGTTTCCAGAGCATTGTATAGGTATTTCTTTACTTCACACAGCTTGAAGGTCTTATTATTCCTTGCGATGAATCCTTCAACTTGAACCCAAACCAACTCTATTGGATTCAATTCACAGTGATAAGGCGGCAACCGAAGAACCGACATTCCTTTAGTCTTCGCCATCTCATTGGTAATATACCTGACAGATTTTGACTTATGACGTTTAGCCAAGTTGAGAAGCTCCGCTTTTAACATGGTCTATTCAAAAGGAATAGCTTTCATTTGTAAAAACTCCGTAATATCTGCTTTTTTCCAACACGACGTTGGCATCTTCTTGACTCGTCTACTGTGGTAACTTGCGTTATCCATTACTATTACGGATCCCTGCGGAAGTTTTACAAGTATGTTTTTAAACCATTCTTCGAATATTATGGCATCCATTTCTTGATGATAATTCCCATTTTTCTTCGATTCAAACACTATCAATCCATCTCTCACGAATCCTTCACTGCTGCCTATGTGCGTGATGATAAGACGACGACCTTTTCCAACTGGAATTTTCAAACCAGTGGACCAACCTTCCATAAAGGCTAGTCTTCCACTTCTGATGTTCTGATCTTGCCATACCTTCGAGACAGTATGACCCTCATTGACCCATGTTTCATCCAAATGAAAAATGGATTTACCTGGTGCTCTGGCTGTCTTTATTTCTCTTAATAGTTTCTTCTCCTTTCTACAATCTCTGATTTTTCTATTAACATGCTCTTTTTTGCTTTCCAAAAGTGAAATTCAGCTCATATAATATCTTCCATAATCGAGTTCTTTTTATATCAGGAAAAAAACTGTCTTCACGAATAACTGACAAAACTTTATTCAATGTAGGTACCTATTTCGTTTTTTATGTAAAAAGAGTGTCCTGTTCTCCTAATAGAATTCTTCACTTCTTCATCGATAACCAAACGCTTTCTACCAGTGGA